TCGTGGCGGGATCTACATGTGAAGCGGAGTACATAGCTGCTTCGGAAGCAGCAAACGAAGGAGTCTGGATGAAGGAGTTCATATCCGATCTAGGTGTCACACCTAGTGCATCAGGTCCAATAAAAATCTTTTGTGACAATACTGATGCAATTGCCTTGGCAAAGGAATCCAGATTTCACAAGAGGACCAAACACATCAAGAGACGCTTCAATTCCATCCGGGATCTAGTCCAGGTGGGATACATAGAGATTTGCAAGATACATACGGATCTGAATGTTGCAGACCCGTTGACTAAGCCTCTTCCATGAGCAAAACATGATCAGCACCAAAACTCCATGGGTGTTAGAATCATTACTGTGTAATCTAGATTATTGACTCTAGTGCAAGTGGGAGACTGAAGGAAATATGCCCTAGAGGCAATAATAAGGTTATTATTTATTTCCTTATATCATGATAAATGTTTATTATTCATGCTAGAATTGTATTAACCGGAAACATAATACATGTGTGAATACATAGACAAACATAGTGTCACTAGTATGCCTCTACTTGACTAGCTCGTTAATCAAAGATGGTTATGTTTCCTAACCATAGACAAAGGAGTTGTTATTTGATTAACGGGATCACATCATTAGTTGAATGATCTGATTGACATGACCCATTCCATTAGCTTAGCACCCGATCGTTTAGTATGTTGCTATTGCTTTCTTCATGACTTATACATGTTCCTATGACTATGAGATTATGCAACTCCCGTTTGCCGAAGGAACACTTTGTGTGCTACCAAACGTCACAACGTAAATGGGTGATTATAAAGGTGCTCTACAGGTGTCTCCAAAGGTAGATGTTGGGTTGGCGTATTTCGAGATTAGGATTTGTCACTCCGATTGTCGGAGAGGTATCTCTGGGCCCTCTCGGTAATACACATCACATAAGCCTTGCAAGCATTACAACTAATATGTTAGTTGTGAGATGATGTATTACGGAACGAGTAAAGAGACTTGCCGGTAATGAGATTGAACTAGGTATTGGATACCGACGATCGAATCTCGGGCAAGTAACATACCGATGACAAAGGGAACAACGTATGTTGTTATGCGGTCTGATCGATAAAGATCTCCGTAGAATATGTAGGAGCCAATATGGGCATCTAGATCCCGCTGTTGGTTATTGACCGGAGATTTGTCTCAGTCATGTCTACATTGTTCTCGAACCGTAGGGTCCGCACGCTTAACGTTACGATGATAGTTATTATGAGTTTATGCATTTTGATGTACCGAAGTTAGTTCGGAGTCCCGGATGTGATCACGGACATGACGAGGAGTCTCGAAATGATCGAGGCATAAATATTGATATATTGGATGGCTATATTCGGACACAGAAATTGTTCCGGGTGATTTCGGAGAAAACCGGAGTGCCGGAGGGGTTATCGGAACCCCCCGGGGAAGTAATGGGCCTTATTGGGCCTGAGCGGAGAGAGAGGGCAGCAGCCCAAGAGGTGGCGCGCCCCCCTCATGGGGAGTCCGAATTGGACTAGGAAGGGGGGGGGGGGGCGGCCCCCCTTTCCCTCTCCCTCTCCCTCTCTTTCCTTCCCAAGTCTCCTAGTTGGACTAGGAAAGGGGAGTCCTACTCCTACTAGGAGGAGGACTCCCCCTCCCCTTGGCGCGCCCCATAGGGACGGCCGGCCTCCCCTTGCTCCTTTATATACGGGGGCAGGGGGGCACCCTAGGACACATAAGTTGATCCACGTGATCGTTCCTTAGCCGTGTGCGGTGCCCCCTGCCACCATATTCCACCTCGATCATATCGTTGTAGTGCTTAGGCGAAGCCCTGCGTCGGTAGAACATCATCATCGTCATCACGCCGTCGTGCTGACAGAACTCATCCCCGAAGCTTTGCTGGATCGGAGCCCGGGGAGCGTCATCGAGCTGTACGTGTGCTAAGAACTCGGAGGTGCCGGAGTAACGGTGCTTGGATCGGTCGGATCGGGAAGACGTACGACTACTTCCTCTACGTTGTGTTAACGCTTCCGTTGCGATCTACAAGGGTACGTAGATCATACTCTCCCCTCTCGTTGCTATGCATCACCATGATCTTGCGTGTGCGTAGGAAAATTTTGAAATTACTACGTTCCCCAACAGGGGGCGCCCCCACCCCTAGGGTTTCCCAACCCTAGGCGCACGGGGACCCTAGGGGGGGGGGCGCACCAGCCCACCAAGGGCTGGTTCCCCTCCCACTTCAGCCCATGGGGCCCTCTGGGATAGGTGGCCCCACCCGGTGGACCCCCGGGACCCTTCCGGTGGTCCCGGTACAATACCGGTAACCCCCAAAACCTTCCCGATGGCCAAAACTGGACTTCCTATATATAAATCTTTACCTCCAGACCATTCCGGAACTCCTCGTGATGTCCGGGATCTCATCCGGGACTCCGAACAACTTTCGGGTTACTGCATACTAATATCTCTACAACCCTAGCGTCACCGAACCTTAAGTGTGTAGACCCTACGGGTTCGGGAGACATGCAGACATGACCGAGACGCCTCTCAGGTCAATAAGCAATAGCGGGATCCGGATACCCATGTTGGCTCCCACATGCTCCACGATGATCTCATCGGATGAACCACGATGTCGAGGATTCAATCAATCCCGTATACAATTCCCTTTATCAATCGGTACGTTACTTGCCCGAGACTCGATTGTTGGTATCCCAATACCTTGTTCAATCTCGTTACCGGCAAGTCACTTTACTCGTACCGTAATGCATGATCCAATGACCAACCCCTTGGTCACATTGAGCTCATTATGATGATGCATTACCGAGTGGGCACAGAGACACCTCTCCGCCATACGGAGTGACAAATCCCAGTCTCGATTCGTGCCAACCCAACAGACACTTTCGGAGATACCCGTAGTGCACCTTTATAGTCACCCAGTTACGTTGTGACGTTTGGCACACCCAAAGCACTCCTACGGTATCCGGGAGTTGCACAATCTCATGGTCTAAGGAAATGATACTTGACATTGGAAAAGCTCTAGCAAACGAACTACACGATCTTTGTGCTATGCTTAGGTTTGGGTCTTGTCCATCACATCATTCTCCTAATGATGTGATCCCGTTATCAATGACATCCAATGTCCATAGTCAGGAAACCATGACTATCTTTTGATAAACGAGCTAGTTAACTAGAGGCTCACTAGGGACGTGTTGTGGTCTATGTATTCACACATGTATTACATTTCCAGATAACACAATTATAGCATGAATAATAGACAATTATCATGAACAAGGAAATATAATAATCATTTTATTATTGCCTCTAGGGCATATTTCCAACATGGTCCTGATAGACCTTCCGAGATGGAATAGAGTTCGTTCGGCGGCTAAGCAGTGGTAATTATTGTGGCTGAGGTGCAAGGCTAGGTAACACAATCAGAGGTGGAGTGATATACGCGAAGATGTCAGCGACTCTTAGGAGATGGACACCGTGTTGGCGACTGAAATAGGGGTAGTTTGATGCTTGAAGTTCTAACTGTAGTAAATTGATATTTTAACAGGGATTTGAATTATAATCGATTTATTCAAATTGAATGCCCCCTTCGACTTGGTGTCGAAGCCTCAAGTAGTCGGCGTCGAACATAAACTTTTTAAGATCATCGAGGGATTTAGCTAGCCACGCGCTCTGGAACGTCCTCCCCGTCGCTTCCGAGAGCACCACATGGACCTCATCTAACTCAGACTTGAGGTTCTCGATGGCATCCTGAAGCCCACCTTAGCAGATCTGTGAATCTAGCTCATGGATTCCGAGGCTATCGATTATGGTTTGCACCAGCCACGCAATCGTCGGCACAAGGAAAGTGTCCGTAGCTTCAGCGTAAGAGGGAACAACTAGTTAAGGGATGCCCTGCAGAGGTCACTCTTTGGGCCCTGGGAGTACGCCAAGTGGTGCGTCCAGCCACGTGTTGCACACTGGGCGCACCCTCATGATTTCCTTTTTTCTGCACGTGTTTCACTTTTTTGGCTTTTCAGGGCTTTCATGATTTTCTCTAGGTTTTGACGGAGTTTATTTTTGTTATTTTGGAAGCCTTGCTTTTCCTCGAGAAGCACATTTGTGCTTTGCGAAAAGAAAAAAAAGCACAACTATGCTTTCCGAAAAAGGAAAGGCACAACTGTGCTTCTCCGAAAAAAGAAAAAGTACAACATGTGCTTCTCCGAAAAAGAAAAAGAGAAGTACAGTCTGTGCTTCCACGAGAAGCACGGCTGGGCTTCCCTAAAAGGGAAAAGCACAGTTGTGCTTCTAATTTTCTTAAAAGCTCAACGGTGCTTTGTTTTTTTTCTCTTTCTCGTTTCTATCTTTTTTGTTTCATGATTCTTTTTTTTTGTTTTTGATTTTCCTTTTTTTCTCGATGTCTAAAAAGTTCATCAAAACCTATTAACATGGGATCTAATTAAAAAAATCCCGATGCAAGAAATCCAACAATGAAAAAGCTTCGTGATTTGGACACGCAGTTCAAGAGATAAACCTTTTGAAAAATGAATCTACTTAAAAGAAAAAATCGAGGTTACAACAAGTGATGCACGTGCAATGTGCCACTTGCTGCACTTCGCTCGGGTCTAAGCAAAATGGGCTGGGTCGCCATTTTTAAAAAATGGGTTGGGCCACACCGCTGAGCTTAATGGGCTGCCGTTGACAGGCCAGCATAGTCGTACTATGTTTTTAGGCGCCAGGGACAGAATGCTATGAAGAGCTTGAACAAACAAATAAACTGAAACTCTCAAAATTGATGAACAGAAATGTGGAGATAAATAAAATTAATTGACTCATGCATGCTCTTACACATATTGTCGTCTTTACAAATACATTACTGCGAGAGTGGAGTACTTAAAATGGGAAATTACAATACAATACAATAAACACAGGGCGATCATCCAAGAAACTAAGTAAAGGCATGAAAAATAGCGCTTGATCTAGCAGCATGCGCACACGGCCATGCTATGCATACTACTTCGGGACGGCAAAGCCCATCCCACCGAGGCCAGCGACGAGGACGACAGGAAAAATGGAGACCCACAAGAAGACCTTCCCAACGGCGAGCGGCCGCCGGTTGCACGGACGGCAGCTCACCCACAGCCCCACGAACGCCTCAGCGAGCCCGAAGACGACCGCGGCGGCTAGAACGACGTAGTAGGAGCAGAAGACGGCCTTCCCATGGTCCGCGAGCACGCCCCCGGGCTTCCTGTAGAGTACCAGCCACAGCGCGGCCGCGGCCTCGAGGACGCCGCACAGGGTCAGAGCGAAGGGCAGCTTCTCGCCGCTGCGGGTTGCGTCGGCCATGGCGCCTGCTGCGCTCTCCAGGTCACCCATGAATACTTGTGAATTGTGATGATCTGCGTGTACTGTGTGGCAGGGAGAGGTGGCGTTTGGAGCTTGAGGAATGGAGAAATGTGTGTATGGAAGAAGGGGAGGTGGGAGTAGATTTATACTAATCGCGCCGGCGTTGGTGCGACGCGCACAACGACCAACATGACCATGAAAGCAGAGCATGAACACGAACACGAACACGAACAAGAACAAGAACAAGAACACGGACACGGACATGAGTACATGGCATCCAGTGCGACGAACCCGACTACTATTCTCTCCTGTGAAGCGGCGTACACGCATATCTGGCAAACACGAGCACGAGAACGAACACGAACACGAACACGGCGGTGGCAATCTCGAAGTCAAACACAGCCTCACATCAAAGCAACGCTGTCGTTCTCGATCAAAGCAAGATATATCTGGGCCATGGATTTTTTTTGGCTCGGCATTTTCTTTAATCGATCAGTTACCGGTCTTTTCCTTTGCCTCACCCAAAACCAACCTACCATTTTAAAAAATTCGGATAAATTTAAATTTGAATGATCAAAAAGGGTCAAATGAGGTTGAGGTTGAAGGATCGAATCCCACTCACCATGATCTGTCTCTGATATGTGGGCCCTTCACGGTTAATACTAGACTTTTAAGCTTACCAAGAAAAAAAACTTTTGATAGGTTCATTAAAATCATAAGTAATCACGTGACACCTAGAGTTGGCAGTGGTAGACTGAACACAATTCGTGTGCTTGACTGTGTGCTTTCTCCTCAATGCTTTGCAGCTTAAAAAACCTAGCATCAGCAAAGCCAAGACCACCGTAACCATACTTCCTGGGTCTCCGTAAGTGACACCAATTGACTCTATGGGACTACATTTTAATCTAACTCCTACTCTATGCTCTCATATCCATCTTAGCGAGGACAATCAACAAAACTAAATTAGGCATTCAGATAAATCATGCAGCACCAACTTATAGAGTGTAGATTGATCGTGCAGCAGTGATAATGATGCATTTTCCAGGTTTCTTTGCAGCCAAAACATATAAGATTCGAAATTACTGAAAGGTCAAGTAAACAATACAACAAAGAGTGGAGATGTAATAACCCGAGATATTACTGTGAATGAAAAAAAACTGAATATTGACTATGTCCATGCCTTAACGCAAAAATGGAAGGCGAACTGAAACCAAAATGTGGAATTTGGAGACGCAAAGTTCTGAATGGGTCGATTCAACAAGATTTAGTTCTACTACAGGTCTGGAGCAAAACTATCTGAATAACCAAGCACGGTCTCAAGCGCAACACGTTGGCCTTGTGGCATCACAGAAGAAACCCCAAACAAAACGATTTCCTTGGAGTGTATTACAGTGAACAAAATTTGTAACCAACCCAGCAAGGTCGCATATCTCTACTCCTAATGGACGAATTGGTTGAATAGTCCTTCCCACTTTCAACCGGTTTATTTTCAACCGGTTTTTCTTCGTCCCACCTCCCACCAGCCCCTCCCACCGGTTTTTCTCTTTTCTCGTCTGACCGGCAATACCCAACGTATTTATGGTAATCAATCATAATTAATCCACATATAGTAATAAATCAATCCAGGTACGGTAAGGTCATAACTCAGGAAATTTTGAATATGGTAATTATATGGTAATAAATTTAAATTACCCCAAAGGCTATCAATCCAGGTATCGTAAGGCCATAACTCGGGAAATATCGAATATGATAGTAAATTTAAATTACCACCAGGTATGGTAAGGCTATCCACGTATAGTAATAAATCATATAGTAATAAATTATAATTAATTCACATATAGTAATAAATCAATCCAGGTATGGTAAGGTCATAACTCAGGAAATTTTGAATATGGTAATTATATGGTAATAAATTTAAATTACCCCAAAGGCTATCAATCCAAGTATGGTAAGGCCATAACTCGGGAAATATCGAATATGGTAATAAATTTAAATTACCACCAGGTATGGTAAGGCTATCCACGTATAGTAATAAATCATATAGTAATAAATCATAATTAATTCACGTATAGTAATAAATCAATCCGGGTATGGTAAGGTCATAACTCAGGAAATTTTGAATATGGTAATTATATGGTAATAAATTTAAATTACCCCAAAGGCTATCAATCCAGGTATCGTAAGGCCATAACTCGGGAAATATCGAATATGGTAATAAATTTAAATTACCACCAGGTATGGTAAGGCTATCCACGTATAGTAATAAATCATATAGTAATAAATCATAATTAATCCACGTATAGTAATAAATCAATCCAGGTATGGTAAGGTCATAACTCAGGAAATTTTGAATATGGTAATTATATGGTAATAAATTTAAATTACCCCAAAGGCTATCAATCCAAGTATGGTAAGGCCATAACTCGGGAAATATCGAATATGGTAATAAATTTAAATTACCACCAGGTATGGTAAGGCTATCGATCCAGGTATGGCACGCCCTCACCTGATCACCTATCACAATCTCCAGCCCCACGCACACACCAAAGAACCCACCCGGCACCAAACGCAGCTCCTCTCGATCCCCTCGAGTAAACGCCGCCGCCGTCATGCGATCTTCCTGACACAGACGTCGTCGCCGCCTCCTTCCCACCTACGGCGTCCCCCACGTCCATGGTGACCCTCCGCCTCATATAGGTTGGTCGTTGATGGAGTGGGATGTGCCCCTTCGGTTTGGGGAGGCGCAATCACGATCTGGTTGGGATCTCAGTGTGGACTCGTTCTCTGCGATGAAGGATGGCATTGCCTCCCTGGCAAATGGGATCGGAGGAAGGGGCTCTACGTCGTGAATGTCGGCGAGGCAGCGGCCGAAGGCGAGCCCGACGGTGAGCACGGGTGTTCGTCCCATGAAATAGGCGACCACGGAGGGCGGATCTGAGGCCACCCCAATCGCCGGTGGCCCTTCCTCCCATCGCTCATCGCCTCCATTCTCTCTCTCCTCTAAATCTTTGTCGCCCCTGCCTGATTCTGGCCGACGCCATCCGGCTCTCGCATCGACCACCACCAGCACGGCTGCGGACGAGGCGCAACCGCAGACGCCGCCGCCGCCATCCTCATCCACCTCCTCCACCTTCTTCCCAGCCGTCGTCGGGGGCACCCGCCATCTGCGCTCTAGCCCACCCGCTCCCTCCTATCCCCTCCCCCTGCCTGCCAGCCCCGTGATCCATCACACAGATGGCAGGTACTACAGCGACCTCCTCCCCAGTGGATCCGGCCTCCTCCGATGGAGATCCATCCTGGGCACCGCCTTATTCTCATGCGTGCACGTCTATATCAACGTCTCATTCCACCTCACCTGAGCCTTTACCTTCCCACCTCTGCTTCAGATCCACATCACTTTGCAAGGTATGTGCTTGATTGTTCCGAACTGGATCGATGGATTGTGCAAGGTACTTTGGGTGTCGTCATTGACGGCAATTGTCACGCCATGCTACCATCGGAGGGGTCCCTCATCGATGATTAGGGTCTTCCGAACTGCACGAGCTCCATTGAGAAGGATGTTTTTAATTCTGGTTTTGCCTACATGCTTTCTTTGCCTGTATCTACTTAGCTAATGTCTTCTTATAGATAGTAGCTGCTGAAGTGGTGATCAAAGTTGTTCACTATAAGGAAACAACCATGATAACAAAAGTGTATATTCCCTGACCTTTGACCTGAAGTACTTTTTCATTAGAAACTTGCAACAGCCAGGCATTGAAATTAGCAACAGCTTCGTACGTACTGAACTAATTTGCAGCAACACGTACTGAACTAAGTTAGGTTATGCTCATCGTTCCAACATGCTTAGTGATAACCACCTAGCAAGCTGATCAAACATGAAAAAATTGAAGTGCTACTGCTAATCGTACTATTCTGAATGTGAAAATCTATTTAATTGGCTCTTCTCTAATTGTACACTTGCATAAATCTCAGATCTTGCAAATTACAGTATAACCATAAAAATCATGCTTTGACTCCTATAGGGCCTTTTGCACTTTAATATGACTAATAATTTGTCTTAATATCACAGATTGTATTACTACCTTTCTAAGTGAATGACATTCAAGAAGATCATTAAATAAAACCAAGAAATCCTTCTGGTATTGGAGTGTAGAAAAGTTGAGACTATAAAACCAAAAGGTTATATTTACGTTTATTAGAGAAGGTTCTTTACTTTTTATAGGAAAACACAAAATGTTGCGATGTAGAGTCTAGGTGGTGGGCCTCCTTGATCCACTTGGTGGATGAGGGCGACTCCGGTCCTGGCACCCATAGTGCCAGTGATCCAAAAATCATAGGGCCTGGATATAGCTCTAGCGGACGTATGCGGCTTGCGCATCGAGCTTGGTCGTCTCGAGCATGGAGATAGGCGAGTTGTAGACCAAGAGCTGGTACAGAGATAGGCGAGTTGTAGACAAGAGCTGGTGGGCAGCAAGAAACGCATGCACACCAAAGAACAAATCTGAGTCACATGCCTACTTCTATTGGTTTTTACAAAGAGCGGCTAGCTTAGATCTTAGACCAGTCGGTCACTGTCGAGGTCGCCAAGGTGATCTTACAGCACCGCCGTGGGGATTTCTCATGATTTTATGTAGGCAAGCCGCAAGCGGTGGTGGTGATTGGCTGGGTGGTGTCGCTGCCTTGGGAAGAGACGAAGTGATGGTAAAAGTAAGCAGGATCCGATGATTCTTCCGTGGGGATAGCCAAAGTCAAGATGTCGACTACAGACTCGTCGCAGACTTGCAGTGAACCTGGATGCGGCGAGCCTGATTTGTGGATCGATGGCGGGTCTTGACTTTGTTAGGCTGGGATTGGATGGTTGCGGAGGGTGGTGTGCTTGGTTGGGTTCCCATGGAAGAATGTGGCCTCCTCGTGGATCTGGTCATGCTCATCCTAGAGAACATTGTGTCCCTAGCTCCCTCGAGGAGCAAGGACAGTGCAAGCGGCAGCAGGGGGTAGGGGTAGATGTGGGGAGGGATGTCGGCGGCTGCTCGAGGTCATCATGATGAAACCCTTGACGTCCCATCTTTATCAATGGAAGTGGAAGAGCACGAAGTCGAGATTGGATAGGAGTTTGAGTTCTTTTTGGCACCGATCGGTTCCCCACTTTAGAGATGTATTTTTTTTGCGTGCGAGCAAACAGTGGGTTGATTCTAAAAGGGATAGGCACTTTTCAACAGAAGTGCATGACGGACCAAAAATATGACCTCATTTTATTCGTTTGATAGATATCGTATTATTCGTTGTTGTTCGTTCGGTGAAATTTCCTAATATTTGATTGTTGTGTTTCTAATTAGAGCACCCCATAATCACCCAATATGAGGGGATGATAAATGAAAGATACTGATTATAAATTTTGAAGAGCCCGTGGCAACGCACGGGCGTTATACTAGTTGAAATCTATGAACAAATCAGGTGTCTTCTGACGCGTCCTGAATTCTGACGGAGCAACATATGCTGGCTAAGAGGTGGAGTTCCGAAATACAAAGTGCATTATTTGTAGCAGCAGAGCATTTCCGGATTGTGTTTTGAGGAAGTTTTGGATAAGCTTCTTCAGGCCGATGAACAGCACAATGCATCCTTGAAATTGTGTCTTTGATTTGCCTTCAGATGTCAAGGAAGTGAAAAGCAATAATCATTTTCAGCTCACAAGACTAGAAAACTGAAGTAAGAAGCAGCGAAACAGACTAGTATACCTGTTGACTGCTATCATATTTTTTTTGGACAGGAAATTGACTGCTACAGTTGACATGACAGCAAAGGATGAGGCTCTAAAGTGAAAGCAAACCTGTCCAGGAACTGGCATAAGACAGTTTCTTATACTCGCAGAAAAAAAGAACAATATCACTTCAGTATGTTAATTCTAACATGATCTACTCGCCCCTAAAAAACTTCAACATGATGTATTGTAGAAGTATACCTCAAAAGCAGTACAGCGATATCCTTGTGGAGGTACAAGCTCATGCTTAACGAGACAACGACTAGCCAATTCACATCTTGGAAACTAATGCCAGCCCTTAGCTTGCTTGTCGTGAGCATTCTACACTGACCGTTCAGCTCCTCGCTGCAAAGCGAGATGTCCAACTCTTCCAGCGAAGGTGGAAGGCCCGCTTCCGGCAGCCTTGACACATTCGGACATCTTCTGTATGTCAGCAAACAGATCAAATTATGATAAGGTTCTGACGTGAAAGCAATCCTGTCGAGGAGCTGGCCTAAAGTCAGTTTTTGCTGCTTCCACACACAAAAAGAAAAAGGCACCGCAGTACAGTAAACTCTGGGCATAACATGATTTATGCTAGAAATATACCTCAAAAGTGTACAACTGCATCTGTTGTGCAGGTTGTGCTTGACAAGCCACCGAGTAATCAGTTCACATATTGGTCGTCAATTTTGACCTTTAACTTGCTTGACACTAGCGATTTGGATTGACGTTTCAGCTCCTCACTGCCCCGGAAGACTTTCAACTCCTCTAGAAAAGGCGGGAGGTCCGGCAATCCTGAGATGCTCGGACAAAATGAAATATCCAACACCTGGAGAAAGCGAAGTCTGTGCAGGCCTGCAGGAAGATCTTTGAGATATTTGTAACACATAAATCGGAGCTCTGTAAGGGAACTGAGGAGCAGAAGCCCTGTCTCTTCCTCATCTGTTAGTCCTTCTGCTGGTGTTTCTTTTTCAAAACCACTAATAACTAAGCTCTGGAGTGATGTGAGTTGCTTGCAGAAAGACGTGGCAAGGAAAGAGAAGTCACTAATAGAAAGATATTCCAGTTGAGGGCATAATTCGTAGTCCTGCACTGGCAAACCCTCCAAACATGAATGCAAGCAAGGGCATTCCCGTAGATACAAATACATGAGGCTGCCAAGGGATTGAAAGCCCTCCAGTGTAGAGAGTGATGTGCAGCTCCGAATATCCAACATTAGCAGTGCCGTGCAGGAGTGCAGCTGTAGAGATTTCAAATTTGGGGCGCCCCTTACTTCCATAATGCAGAGGGAACGGGATTGCAAGACATCTAGTGTGCCAAGCGATTCACATGTACATACCTTCAACTTTTGCAGTGCCGTGCAGGAGTTCAGCTGTAAAGATTCCAATTCTGGGCAGTTCTGTACATCCAATTCCGTTAGTGCTGGCGCATATTGCACAATCAATGATAGCCACTCCCATGCTATGCCGCATGACCGGATCATTATATGTTTAAGAGATGGGATGGCATTGTATTTTGCAGCTGTCAAATCTTCACGGGCATGCTCTGGTGGAACATCGAAACTGGAAATCCCTGGACAATACACTATTCTCAGTGTCTTTAAGGATACAAGTTGACTTAATCCTTCTAATGAAATAAACATTAGATTTTTGCAGTAACCTATTATCAACTCTGTCAGGAAACTTAGATTATGGAATGCCAAAATCTTTCCATCTAACACCAACAGCTCATCAGAAAGCACCTCAAAACGATCCTTGTTAGAATCATATTCATGTTCATAATAATCAGATCTACCAGGATCCTTGCCGATGATTAAACTTCCAAAGGACGATGCCTCTATACTTGGAAAATTCGAAACTCCCCTCATGGAAATTCTAGAAACAATACTTGAAGATGGTAAAGGGTGTGGTACCAGCAAAAGAGGACAGTTGTGGATAACAAGTTCCCAAATACGTGGCAACCATGACTTCTTCTCAGTTTTAAATTTATGGCCGTCCCCAAACAGATCAAACACCTTCAATGAAGTGCAATTCTTAATTTTCAGAACCCTTATACAGGAGTTCAACCCCCTCATATAAGTGCAGGAGCATGTCTCCAGCTTTTTCATCTTAACTAACACCAGCTCCTCTAACGAAGGAACTGATATTTTTACTACTTTTGGCATGCCGCTTAACTTTAATTTTCTAAGAAGGGGAAGCAATTGCAGAGATGGAAGTATCCGCCATTTTCTACAGTTCTCCAAATGCAGAGTCTGTAAGGAGGTAACAGAGATATTGCATCTGTATCCAGATAGCCAAGATGGAGAGGTGGCACCATTGTATCCAAATATCTGAAGATGCTTTAGGTTTTTATGTGGTTGAAGACCCTCAAGCACCTCTTTTTGCAAGCACTCCTCTGTTTCTATGCTGGTAGAAGGTTCAGAGCACGTGACGTTCTCAACATCTAAAATATTCAGGTTGATATCCTCCCAGGACAAGTGCAGCTTTTCTAAGTGCCATTTGTCAAGCAGTCCTGCTCCACAAGCCTCCTCCTGAGTCTTAACATTTTGAAGTTGAGAAACCCCAAGTTGGACAAGATCGTTCATGCATTGAAGTTCTATAATCTGAAAGCCATTGGAATCTTGTACGCTGAAATTGTTTAGTGTCTGAAGTGAGGTCAATTTGCCAATTCTATCAATGGAAGTTGCAACAAGATGCCGCAAACTGACAAGATTATTCATGCCATCAGGTACATCAAGATGAGTGCTTGAGCCGACATCTAATACTTGAAGGTGACAAAAATTGCTCAAAACCTGAGGCAAACCCCCCCTCGCCTCATTGGCCGTCAGTTTTAGATAGCGAAGATGAGTAGGATTAACAGAACTGCACATGAGGGAATTAAAATCTGCAAAGGTTGCAGATATTTGCAGCAGACGTAAATTAGGAGCCTTCCGGAATATGTCTTGGAAGGACTGGAAGAAAGAAGACTTGTAGTGCCCGATAAACACCAACGACCTCAGTTTTGTAACTACTGGTGTAATTGTATTTCTCAAATTTTCTATAAACTTGTTAATCTGAGATGTGTTCCAATACGGATATTTGCTCCATACTATTGACAAATGTTGTACAGTTAGTAATATATCATTGCACTGTAGACCATCTATAATTGCACAGTCAGTTTTTGAAACCATCCTTGCAAAATCATGCATAAGACCACACAAAACATATGAAATTTCTCTTCCAACTTGCTGAAAATAGCCCATGTTCACCAAATCTGCCAAATAGTCCATTCCTATCTCCTCTAATTTCTTACTTGGATGGCTCTGTTGGACAAATCCTTGTGAAATCCAAATACGGACCAACTCCTCACCAAGAAACTTATAACTGTCGGGGAATATAGAACAATACGAGAAGCATTGGTGTAGATGGTACGGCAACTGATCATAGCTACGCTTCAAAGAAGCCATGATGCCTCCACTGAGCCCCAACAATTTCCAATCTTCGTCCTTGAGAATTTTATTCCAGTGATCAACAGTAAGATCAACTCTTAATAGTTCCCCTGCAGTTACTGCTGCTAATGGGTTACCCTTTAGCTTGCCTGCTATTTCCTATCCAATGTTCATTAGATTTCCATGCTCTTCATAGTTCTCTTTACCAAATGCTCGTGCTTTGAGCAATAACCACAATTCGTCATCTTCCAGCGCACCTAACACAACTGGTTCAGTCATTCCTATCCTTTTTGCAACAGAGAGATTTCTAGTTGTCACAAGGATCACGTTGCCATTTGGATTGTCTGACTTGAAAGGAGCAAGTATTAGGTCCAATCTGCGAATGTTCTTGTCATCCCAGACATCGTCTAAAATAAGTAGAACCCTCTTTGATTCAATATGAGTTTTCAAGACCTGCTGAAGTTTGTCAAGGCTGCATAACCCTTCGTGTTTTTCTCGAGGGACAATATCTAATATCTCTCTCGTCAGTACCATTTCATCAAAGTTGTTAGACACCCAAACCCATATGCTGTGGTCAAAATGGTCTTGCACTTTCGGATCATTATATACAAATTGCGCGAGAGCTGTCTTCCCAGTACCTCCAATGCCTACAATAGGCACAACAGTTACACTGTCAGATTTACCAGCTGTCATCAACTTTATGATGGAGCTCTTCTCTTTGTCTCTCCCATACACTTTGCCTTGAAGAAGACTTGATGTTCTTCGGCATGGATCTGAGGCTGTACTTTGATGGAGAACTGAACTTGCACCAGAGTGTGACCCAAACATGTTGAGATCCTTTGTCACATCCCCTCGGATGCCTTGCAACTGATGAGTTATTTTCTGTATCTTACTGGAAATTTCGTCTTTATTCCAAGGGTGAGCAACAGCTGCGGTGATTTGTGTTGGCTCTGGATTCGTTCCCATCCTTGGTATGCTGGGTGAATTACTTACAGCAACGGGGGTAGCATTTTCAGTAGCATCATCCATGCTGTGAGAAGAAAAAAGGCAAGGGATTGTTAAGCATATGCGTGTTAAGTTGTGAGCACTTTCAAAGAATAAGATGAACCAAGTGTATAACATTCAGCTTTCATGACGTAAACTATGTCCTAAAGCAATTCAAATGCAATTTCCCTTCGTAACAAATAAAAGTCCAGCTGCACATCTCTTCGCAAAGATGTAGAATAAGATGTGTGTCGTTGCAATTTGTAGAAATGAAGAAATGTACGTCGTTTTTTGAGTTTGAAACCGTACCTTGAATGGCTTGGCGGCTGGGGACGTGCTTCTCGCGTATTCTTACACTTGGCACTATTGGAGTGAGTCATCAAGACTCTTGGCCCTTGTTTACCGTCGTATTTAAGTTTCTTTTTACAGTGTCTACATTCCGCCCCCACGGTTTTTCCATCAGTGTCATATATCTCGTCAAAATCAACCCAATGCGGGGATCTTTTTTTGCCACGACCTCTTCTCGGCGGTATAATATCACCATCGCCCCTCGATGTGCCATGATCGACTCGTGCTGCTTCATGCATGCCTTCGGGCCCATGCAAAGTAACTGCGCCAAAAGAAGAGGGCTGTTAGCATGGTCCTGCTAGACCAGAAAAACGATATTATCAAGGTGAGGTCCTTCGGCGGCTAACCGGTGTTAGTCACTGTGGCTGCGGTGCAAGACTGGATAACACCGTCAGAGGCGAAGCGGTTGTGCGCGTTGGATGAAGACAGCAGCGGGTATTGGCCTGCTGGGAGATGGACAAGGTGTTGGTGAGTGGTGACTGAAACAAAGATAATTTGATGATTGATGTGATCAACCACGTCTAAAGCTTGCGCTCGATAGCCCAATTTTTTTGAATTCTAAGGGCAACTCTAGTCGATCCTAATAAATGTCTAACTCCCAAAAAACTGGCCGCTTTAGGGAATTAACCCACTTTAACCCTCCTCGCATGTCATCGTGTGCCTCCTCCACAACCGCCCCCAGGCCCCGCCACAATTGACCACTATCACAATGATCGGTGGCAATGACAGGGACATCGAGGTGCCATCATTGAGGAAGCATGTTCGTCCCGGCAGCAAGACAATGTCGACAAATAACGCTGTGTCGATCTTAATTAATCTATTCGTAAATTACATTGAAATAAAAAAAAGATTAAAATGAGACACAATATATTGATACTGAAATAAAAGATGTCCTGTTTGGTAAAAAAAAGATTATATTTAGCCTTCTCCTTTGTTAAAAAATATTGAAGAAAAAAAGT